CAACAAAGCTGGGCTATATCATATAGGGAACTGACATTTATTCCTTTTAGTTCTTTTAAGAGGCACAAAAAGAGCAAAGTAATCCCTTAATTTTGAGTAAAAAACTTCCAAGGCATTGTCGATCGAGGATTCTTTAACTAGAAGACCATACCAGTCAATATCGTGCAAATAATTGTTAGTTTTTGCATAGTCACAATTGAAGAAATTATACTGACTTATCATGCTTTCTTTAAATGGTTTAATAAATAAATCGAGAATTTCAAATGCAAAGGCCGGATGATAGCGATCTTCCTTTAATAATGGATTTGTACTAGTAACTGACAGTGGAAGTTTACAAAAACACAAATCCAAGATCCTGTTGTTACTATTGCATATATGGTTATATTGTCCCAAACCTAATAAAGTCATGTCATTTAAAAAATCACTAGCACAATTCTGTACAGCCGTGGGGCCGGTCTGCTTTACATAAAAATCGGTTGCGTTCCACTCAACAACACATAAGTTAATATCACCTACCAATAGGCAGTGATCAGTAGGATATTTTTCTACTAGGTCAGTAATGATGTTTCCGATGGAAATAATTTAATTCTACTAGGTAATGCATTATCAGGTGGTACGTATGCGGCTATAATGTGTAGAGCGGAAGGTATAGCTAGTGCGTTTGCAGACACAGTAATGCAAAGCATCTCAACAGACGAGTGTCGCCACTCGTCGTGTAAACTGGCACACAATTCGCGTCGAATGCAGATCATTACATCTCCCCCAGTTTTTTTATTTGATTGACGTAAATCTTAATAGTAATATAATAATCAGATAGAATCAAAGGAATACTGCGATCTTCTCTCTCATACGAGTTGAGAAACTGCTCGATGCTTGACTTGTAACTCTAATAAAAAAGCTCATTGGTTATAATTCCACCAGTAAATTTCCACTTATAGGTAGCCTTAGAGCCATAGAGGTTGCCTGTAAGTGGAAATGTTACATGATCTAAGAACTCGGTAATAAAAATGACGTAATTGCATACAAAGTTTCAACACCTATTTCATCCCTTTTATCGTTGGGTTTCCAAAAAGTCTTTGTTATTGAGTGGTTATGTTGACAAAATAATTTTACTTGGTGTTGGTTTATTCATAGAAGATTTTTATTTTCTAAGTGAGTCGTTTGAGGTCCTCATTTCGACAAAATTAGGGAATACTCGTTTTTCAATTTTGAACCACCTCATTTAGCTCCTCACTTTTAGAGGCTTCGAGCACGAGGCGCGAGCACAGATATTACACCTCACGCAACAGAATAGCGAGTTCTTTAGAATGAAAAGGCAACTCGATACTTACTTAATATATTTAAGATTGAGGGAACGGGTTAAGTTTAGAAAGAATGAATGAATGAAACATGCTTTATTATTATACACCAATGCAGGACAATACAATCGAATAAAATAAAATTAAATGCACAATTGGCGGCCTTATTACTAAAAAGTAATTTCTTCCAGGCAACCTTTGATATTTGAATGATATTAATTAGTCTAAGTAAAAACCAAAGTTAATAAAAATGTATCGGTTTTATGATTAATCGAATTTAAAAACGGAACATTTGACACTATTAAAAATAAGTTGCGTGTTGTGGTCATTCTGTTAAATAATAATCTAATAAAGTTTATTTCTTAGAATCTAAAGACAAAATATGTTTTGTTTAGCATTACCGACTCCCTCCCTCTTTTTGTACCAAACGGCAACGTTGCGCGCGCCTCGCTACGTACTCATTAACTGCTACTGTAAAATTATCTATCCTCACCTCAAATGATGGGTAACTTGCGATCCCCTCACGGGGGAAAATGAGATCCTGACTCATCCTCATAAAAAAAGAGTTACACAACGCTATATTTTCTTCAGTTTCCTGGTGTTGCCACCTCATAGACTAAGTATAATGTCACACATCTTCTCTTCTAACAAAAACGATAGTAATCATTAAGTTGTAATATCTTGGAATTAGAATGTTACATCACCAGTTGGCATAAGATATGTGATTTTGATTTCTATTCTAGCTCCTTATATAAACACTGGATTTTGGCGAAATTCACAAGGGCAACTACAATAATTAAAAAGAAGAAGAAGAAGTAATTCAGTTATAATGCAAATTTGCGATTTTACGTTGTTTCTTTAAGGAATCGTTATCTTGTCTTCTATAAAATATACTTGTTATTATAAGAAAAAATAAAATATTAATAATATTTTGTAGTAAGGGGCTATTCATTTATTACGTAAGACTATTTTCGCTAATTTATTATAAGAAAAAATAAGAAAAGGCTGACCCCCTCCCCCCCTGTTTAATATTTATTACGTAAGAATCTGAAAGGCAAAATAATACTGGTTTTGGGTTGTTTTAATGTTTATATTTCAAAGTAATAATCTTTAGAAATCTTTTTCTGTACTTACATAGGTACTAATAATTTTCATTTATTAATAGTTTAAAAAAAAACTTTTGTTTCATAAATCTTTCATAAAATTTTCAGACCAGGTACTCAAAACCCACTCGGAAAGTATATCTGCCACTGGAACATCTCTAATAAAAGGTGTTGCTTCTAGTTGGTCATTCAGGATAGTGACGTCGTTGACGTCGACCCATTCCACATCAGTCCCATTTGCTGATCTTACGTAAGAACTATCGAGACTCCCTGCCACCCCTTGTAAGAAAAACTAAGACATTATTGACCCCCCTCCCACCCTAAATCGTCTTACGTAATAAATTAATGGCCCTTATCTATTATTTTTCATAAAGTTAAAAAACAAGGTAGCTCAGTGTTACAATATTAAAAAAAAATCACGGGTAAAGGAAGAAAAAAAAATGGCGAGAAGAAAGGTGCTACTTTACTTACATATATGTGTTTTACTTCTATTATAAAGGTAATATATTGATCATTACGAATATAGGTATATGATTTACTACTTTTATTGCTCTAATTATACACCACAAACCATTTATTTCATGTCGCGCCGCTCGATGTTTACATTTCGTACGAACAATGTGCGTATTGTGCGATACACGACTATAAGAAATTTTCGGCATCTCGTAAAATGTCAAATAACTTTAAGTTGTTTGGGTCATTCATAAGCTTCGTAGAACTATAGTTTCTATCGCTAAGTGTTTACATTAGCGGTCGCACGAACAAAAGAATGGCGTTAAGTGTCACAAGTAGCGGTGTCAGGTTACCGCTAACAGCCCTACGATTCTGTAAAAATCCAGACCTGATTTCGAATTCACTCATGTGTCTGTATTCACGTCATTGGAGTGTAGAAACGCTATTGATTCCATTTTTTGTATAAAAATACAAAACAAAATTGATGGATATACGAATCTCAGATATTTTATTCCTATGCCTTTTCTAAACTAGCTTTACTTATGCCACGAATCAATTCAAAGTTGCCGCTTTTTGAAGTAAATTCGGACACATGTGTGAATTCGGAATCGGGTCTGATTTTTTACAGAATCGCAGGTGCAGTATGGGTCACTGAAGCGATTTATGAATTACGTAAAGGAAGGATAAGTAAATAGATATATCTATATTTGTTTTGTCATTCAGTCAATTTTGATGGCTTTTCTGTACCTAATGTAAGCTTAAGCTTTGTATATTATATTGTAATAAATGTAAATAATTATCCATTAAATTAAATTAGATAAAAAAAAGTCTCTTATTATTTTAGTTATAATTGGTGTATCATTAGGGGCCGTCCATAAATTACGTCACACAAAATTCATGATTTTTAATACCCCCATGTCACAGGTTTGGCTATACAAATTCTACTAAATATTGTTCTAATGTCACAGTTCGTCGACCCCCCCCCCCTCCAAACGTGTGACGTATTTTATGGATGGCCCCTTAACCTTTTTAATAAATCTTTTTATGGATAGGTATAACTTTATATAGGTATAAACTCAACACTCATATCTTTTGGTACAAATTAAATAATATAATTTTTTTCTGTTAAATAGGAAATAATAAATGTCTTTATTTTATGTTCCGAGAGAAAATCCTTCAATTAAAAATAAAATTAAAAAGGCGGTTTTTTTAGGCGTTTTTATAAGGCGTTATAGGCGTTAATATGATGTACATTTTCAGTAAACACGTTTGTTAGTGAGATCGAGTTTTTATCTTCGATCGATTTTTTCTTTTTCTATTGATTCAATATTAACAACGTACTATTGCTTGCGTTGTGAATTATTAAAAAAAAAAAACATTAGTTCCCCAAATCAAACGACAACCCTTCCGGTTTTCTTTTATGTTTAAAAATTAAATTAGTTTTTAAAACTCAATAAACAACTCATATTCTATTTGTACTCTTTCGTATTCGTATCTAAGTCACGAACTATTCAAATTTCAGTTTTTTAATATATTAGTTAAAAGAAACGGAAATGACTGTCTTTGGTCCATTCGTTTCCTGCAACAATCAAATTTTGCTAGAGTCGCCATCTAGTGGGGTGCTATTTTAGTGTTTTCTTTTTTTTTTTAAATACTTTCTCATAGCGGTTTGTAATTTGTTTTAGTTAAAGTTTTACACTTATTTTTGTTGTCTTCCTATTTTGTTTTGGACGTCTGCCCAGTTCCGGGTTCATCTCTTTTTCTTTTTTCCTTTGTGTTGGTAGAGAACATTAAAATGTTTCCATCGCTAGCCGACTGCCGATTTCCGCTCAAAATTAGTCACAATTAAAGTAATTAAACCAGTAAAAGTATTTGATTTTATGATTTCAAAAAACACGTTTCCAATCTCCTACCAAAAATGGAAGTCCATAATATTTTCTTCCGTTTCCTAATGTTGCCACCATACAGATTAAGTACATAATATGCAATATCACCCACTGACCGAAAATGAACTAGTAAATCACGTCGATTTTTTATATAAGCGACATGATAATATTACAAATTCCTGGTCCAGTTTATTAGTCTATGATGACAGATATGACACGACATCAGCTGTTGTCAATTTAGTTGTCAATGTCAAACACATTTGTTGCGTTCGTATTCGTAAACGAATAGAGCCAGTTTGTATCTATTAAACAGTTTATTTATTTAATTTGACTTGTCTATAATAATTTCACTGTATAAATATTTTTATTATTTAAAATATGGATGTTAGTATTTTACGTATAATAATATTTAAACTATGTAATGTGATCTTTAAAGTTTACCTACTTCTATCTTCCAGGACAGCAATATTCCCATTGATATAAATATAGGGAAACTACAGGATTGGCTGGTGAGCCGTCGGCATGTGAATAAAGAATGGCAGAAGAATATATTAGCAGTAAGGGAAAAAATAAACAATGCTATTCAAGATATGCCCGCTCATGACGACATAGCAGCATTGCTATCTGGCAGTTACATCAATTACTTTCATTGCTTGAAGATTATTGAAATCCTTAAAGAGACAGAAGCCGACACAAAAAATCTCTTTGGTCGATATGGTTCACAAAGAATGAAAGATTGGCAGGATGTTGTAAAGAGTTATGAAAAAGAAAATTTGTATTTGGCTGAGGCAGCTCAAATGCTGGTAAGAAATATTAGTTATGAAATACCTGGCCTTAAGAAACAGATAGCGAAGGAGGAGCAGATGCAAGCGGTAAGTTATAAATTTCTTACCTATGAACATTTCATGTAAATGGTGGTTTTCATTACACATTTAATTTTTTAATAAAAATCCTACAATTTTTACATGTCGTTAAAAGAATACTCACGATTTTTCTGTCTTGAATTATTATGTAAGTTTACCTGTAACATTATTTTTTTTAGGAATGTGAAAAAAAACATACTGATTATCTGAAAAATGAAGCATTGTGCAAGTCTGAATTTCTGAATCAATGTAAGCAGCTAGGTATACAAGGGGAAAAGATCAAGAGAGAGTTGGTTGACAGGTTACAGGAATTACCTGATATTTACGATAAGGTTTATAAACATTATGTTATTACATCACATATAAATCATACTGAGAATGATTTCGTGCTTTTCTAAATGAAATACATTATATGACTTTCTTGATAAAAAATAAGATTCAGCTGATACTCTCTATCTCTATTTATTAATTTATAATATGCAAAAATATAAATAGAAAAATTTAAAAGAAATTGTCAAGATCCCTCTACTTATATAATGAATAAAGAGTGTCTCTCTTTTTGTTGTACAGAACAGTAACATCCTGATTTCTAGTGATCATATATCTAATAGAGCTGAAGGGTACAATAAAATTTTCTTTCTGATAACCAGCATTTCTGATGATTTGGCACGTACATGTGTGCAGTGGTTCTAAAATTTTTAGTGCATTCTGTTTGGATAGATAAGGGTTCACCCTTAATAAATAGTAAAAATCATAATGGCTTCTTTTTCAGATAGGAAAATCATTGAAGCCCTTGCTCCCAGGCATTGAGCTTTACGCAGCGTTCACAAAGTATGCATTAGGAGATAGGGCAACAGAAGTACTACCTCTATTACAGTATATAGTCGAGCACGGTAACACTACTGTTTATGAATGGAGCTACGGGGAACCACCCCTGAGTGTGGAGCCTGATCCCATTCATATTGAGTTTGATGATGAAGAACATGCAGCTGGTGATAAGGTATTCTTTAATTTTTTTTAGTAAACAATATTTAACTAATTATCTTTCGTATATTTCTAAATGCTTCCTTTAACTCCTTTCGTTATAATGAGATCATCTTATCGTTTTACTACCTCACACTAGAACCATCTCTAGTGTATCAGACCGTCAACTTTTTTTGTTTGCTAATCTTTACATTGAGGCATGGTTCCACTTCGTTTCCATTTATATCGGTTAAATCACTCACTTTGATTCACTGATGCAAGAGTATTTTTTTTTAAATATAAGTATATCCACAGATTGATTTTGGGGATGCGGCCATAGATTTTGGCTCAATAGATGATGCAGCAGGTCAGATTGACTTTGGAGATGGTGAAGCTGCTGCAGAAATTGACTGGGGTAACATTGACAATGCAGGTGCTGGAGATTTAGTGAGTTCCCTAATATATATGATTCAAAATGCCAAAATATTTTGATTACTTAGATCTAATGCAACTTTGACTGAACACATTGATGATTATAAAGCTGACTGTTCACTTTAAAATAGTTTCCTATTAATAGTCACTAAATAAGTAAACTAAATTACACAGGATCTTTAATCTTCTACCAATATAAACGATGGTAATTTTGTAACATCCTTCTAGGATTTGTCAGTGAACATGGCTGATGTTTCATTGGATGAATCTGGTATAGTGGTAGAAGATCAAGGCATGGGTGGTGGGGTGGCTCGTGGGAAGGATGCTCTCACGCTTCTGGACAATCCATCCACTAGGAACCAATTCATAGATCAATTGGTTGAGGTAAGAATATTACAATGAGCTCAATAGTGCAGTGGTTAGCGCATTCTGACAACGACGTGGTGTTTTTTTAGGACCGACAGGTGGTTATGGTGGTGCTGCTTGGTAGTAGCAACTGGTATGGATGACTAAAGTGCAATTGGCTATTTGACTGTTTTAGGAAAATTATAGAAATTATTACAGCAAATCCCATCAAATCTCTTTTTCTAAAAAAATATTATTAAATATGAAGAAATGCCCTCGAAATCAATCAATGACGTGATTTTAAGCTGTGACGTCATATTTCAATAAATATAAGTATGGGTTGCGACTTTTTATAAATTATCTTTGAAAAGCTTATAATCAATAGACTATAAATTTAAAATTTAATTTTACAAAGATAAAATATATGTGCCTACAATTAATTTTATAGTAAAAAATTTATAGTAAAAAAAGTAAAAGAGCTCGAAAGAATAAATGTTTGGTCACTCATCCCGTTACCGGCCCTTGTGAACGTTGCTTAACCTCCGCTTCGTACGGCAGTTACGCGCTAACTAACCACTGCCACATCTAGCTTCACTGTGTAATATGATACATACATACATATTTTAAAGGTATGTTACTATACCATGTTGTACTAGCTAAACGAGGCTTCGCCCGCGTAGTCCACTATTATACATATAAAACTTACTTCTCTTTGTATCATCCTGTATTCATGAAAATTGCAATAAATTCCGTTGTGTAGCTTAAAGAACCTCAGCATATAGACAGTGGGAAGTGACTTTTAGGATACGGACGCAAAGGGTAAAACGGGTGGCTGTTACTAAGACGTCGCTGACTGTCCGTCTGTCTGTCACCAGACAGTATCTCGTGAACTGCGATAGTAAGACAGTTAAATTTTCACAGATGATGTATCTCTGTTGCGCTATAGCAAACAAATACCAAAATAACTTGAATAAAATTTATATTTATGAGCTCCCATTTTGCTGGATTCCGGTTCAGAACGCTTCGTGCGCCAGTTCGGCTGTCTATGATTCAAAAGCAAAGCCTTTAAGTAGTAACTAATATTATTCTTTCAGTTGGAGTCGTTTCTCAAGATGCGTTTATACGAGACGAACATTATGGAGAGCTCAGGTTTCTCATTAATGCCTCAGTTGCCCGTTGAGAGTGCTGATGCACTGGTCGAGATGTTGGCAGCTGTACAAGTGGCCGCGTCGAGACTCACAGCGCCTGAAGCTAATCATCTGCATAATGTGAAACATTCGCCCAGGTAATTAACGGGGGGGGGGGGTCTGTGTATGGACCACTCCCTGCTGGAAATGCAACATAGTATTTTTGAATCGTTCGTCAGTGGGGTGGCCACGCTCGACTTCAAAGTCGTATGACGCCATTTTTTAATATTTCTGAATCGTTCGTCTGTAGGGTGGCCACGCTCGACTTCTAAGTCGCATGACGTCTTATAGTATTTACGAATCATTCGGCTGTAGAGTGGCTTACATGATTTGAAATATTGAAATTTGTCTTCGTTTTGTAAATAATTTTTTTTTTCCATATCTATCTATACTATCACAAAAAAAAAGTGAAAGTAAACAAAATGGTCATAAACGCCATTTATTCATTTTATGTTTTGACTTTTATACACTCATAAACAGCGTTCGCTAAACGACCAGTGGTTTATAAAACTCGTTGCAGTCGAGCGAATCAGAAATGATCAGCAATGGCGAATTTATTATATATAGAAAACGAGCGCCGAATGATTTAAAAATACTGCTCCAGGCCCTCCTCCCCAAAAAGTGAAGGTTCATCAAGTGAAGTGGGTTAGGTGAGAATGCCATCCAAGTTTTGACTAGTCTTTAGGTGGGCACGTGCGGATAGAGAGTCCCACATACCCCTTGCCACCTTTCAAGCGGAGGTTCTTATTGGTTAGTCGATCGCACAACTTTAATTAAAACGTATTAAATTAGGTTTTAGCTTACAAGCTTTAAAAAAAGGCTGTATTATTTCTATATTAATTATACTATATTATAGACTTTATGTTTGTTTGTTTGCATAGATTAAAAAAAAATTCAACTACGGATAGCTACATTATATGCGGTTGACACGGACTATAATTCACGCGTGTGAAAGCCGTGGCAAAGCAACTAGTTAAGAATAAAATAAATGTATTTTATATAGATACGTGGACGTGCTAACGGCTCAGCTGAAACAGAAGTTGTCATTATGCGATAAGCTGTCGCGTTTAGCGTCGCGTGCGGCAGAACAACGCGATGCGGCGGCGACGCGAGCGCTTCACCTGCGCCCTCTACTCAACAAGATTATAGAGAGGACTAGGGAGCTGCAAGCTAACGTTAGTGTTGTATATTGTGTTTCATATTAAGTCACAGCTAATTTGCTCCGTTATTGATTTATTTATTATTGATCACGGCTTCTTTTAAGTGTGTACCGATACCAGAATTTGTTATAAATATATTAGAGCTTAAATTGGTCATTTATCCTTAATGAAGGTTTGTGCAATTGGGTTTGTACACCGAGATCTGCTTAAAATGTATGCCACAAAGAAGTTAATATAAACTAATAGTCTAAGATTCGGAAGAGCAAATGATTTTTGTTTTCAATTTTATTCGGTGATGGAAAGACGGGTGTGTAACGTAAATGAAAATGAAAATCTTTATTGTGGCATTACCAGATAATATATTAATGAAACACTGGCTTCTGAATTTAAGAAACTTATGTCTCAGAAGCCAGGTATTATGAACAAATATGATACACTTACCCTAATATATCGATATTATTTACTTTTTCAGATTGAAAGTGACATCTCAAAGAAGTACAAAGGTAGACCGGTTAACATTATCGGAGGAGTGAAGTTCTTATAAGAAAAAATGTATAAAGTGTATCTGTTTATAAGTGCCGTTGATTTGTGACATAATTATAATATCTTGTTATGTACTTGTTTTTTTTTTATAGTCTACTGTGAGATTTTTTATTTAAATGTAGTCTGAAATGGAATTCGAGATAAAAAAAAAACATATTTTGGTGAGGATTTTTTTAGGACGAAATAAATAAATAAACTATCCTAGAAATTTAGGAACGTTTGGTCACCTTGGCACCGACTTTAATGTAGATATTGCAAAATTTCATTAATTAGCACTGATTCATTATAGAGAATAAGGTATAAGTCTCAATATATTTTTTATTTATTTATCCATTGACATAATAATACGGATAATAATAATATGGGTAATAAAAATACGGGTAATAATAGTAATAATAAGGTACTGTGATGCATTCTATCTCTGATTTGCCTTTTGAGCTGCGTCTGGTTTTGCATTGTAATGCTAGTGGATTCGATGATGTCACTATAATTAAAATACTTAACACCAGTATCAGATACTTCATCTAAAATAGAAAAGAAAATTCATTATTTGACCTATTCTTGTTTGATGTATTGTATGCCGTGTCATACAGCAATTAGAAGGTTACTTATTCATATGGGAAGGTTAGCAGTCCAATTCCGCTAATATTAGGGGCCGTCCATTAATCATGTGATGTTTTTTTCAACATTTTTGACCCCCCCTCCCCCTTAGTGATACATGATGAGGTTTAAGCCTACTCCCTCCCTCCTTCATCCAAATCACGTGTATTTAAAAAAACAACAAAAAACTTAATTTCTAACGTCGCTTATTGATTTAATAATCGCGCGTTTGAGAAAAAAATGAATACACGTGATATATTACTACACACCCCTTCCCCCCTTGTAATATTTCGTGATTTTTGACGAATCACTCCCCCCCCCTTTCGAGCCTCACGTGATTAATGGACGGCTCCTTAACGTAATGATCGCATCTCAATATTATGTCAACTATTTGCATTTTACCATTGTACTATATACCTTAAGTCCAATATTATTAGTACAATGTCTTCCTCACATATCAATGGTGACACACATATAATAATATTCGACTTCAGCGTGGTAAGTGTAAGTTTTATGCTAACGTGTTACCAGATCATTACCAGATCAATACATTATAAATAAAGAGAGAGAGAGAAAAAAAAATGGAAGGAAGATAATTTTTTATATATCCACAATGAGAAATTAAATACCATACAAACCTCCTTAGAAGATATACAGAAAATTAATGCAGGCATTCAAAAATCGATGGAATTCTTTAATATTGAATATGAAAACCTACAAACAAAAATGAAATCCTTAGAGGACGAGTGTAAGAGAAACCGAGCATTTATCGATTCCCTCCAGGAAAGAATAGAGGTCTTAGAACGTGACAATCGATCTACGAAAATTGAAATCCGTAACGTGCCACTGAAGGATAACGAAAAAAAAAACGATCTTATGATGTATATCTCAAAGCTGTTTCAGTTTTTGAGTCTGGATATGAACCCGTCTGATGTCCACGATATTTATAGACTACCTGGCAAAAGAGAACAGAAAAAGCCAATAATTGTTGATCTACCCAACACAGCGACAAAAACTAAATTACTGTCCGCTCTCAAGCTATATAATAAAACACACAAAACCTCTAAACTAAGTGCAAATCATATTGGACATCTCAGTTCAAGCGAATCTGTTTTTGTTGCCGAACATCTCACTCAACAGGCCTCCCGCTTGTTCTACCTAGTACGAAATCTGAAGAAAAATGGTAAAATTAAACACTGCTGGACGTCCGACGGTCGTATCCTAATACGTAAGACAGAAACAGCAGCCGCCGTGCAAATCAAGTCTGAACATCAATTGGATGAATTTAACCAAGATAACTGACTAGTCGTAGTTTTTTATTATCTTTTGTATATTTTTGCATGTCAAATCTTTATTTTTGGGTTAATACCTACATTGTCTGATAAAGGGTATCGCACATATAACATTAAAACCAACATTAATACATTTAAATTAGATTGCATAAACACCTCTGCAATTTACACATACAAAAAATCAAACTATCTACATTTAAAACAACTTATATTTGTTCTCTATAAAACACACTATACACATTTTACAAAAGTAATAATTAATCAATCAGAGCATGCACATTCGGTTAAACCAATATTACCACTAGAAAAACAATTATCTATGAAACTTTGTAATCTATATAAAATTCTCCCCTCCTAACATTAGTAATAACATAGATGAATTTTCAATTTCTGTGTCAAACACCTGCTCGCCTGAAAACTGTGTGACATATATAGATAACCATAAAACAAATCTTAAAATATTAACACAAAATATTCGTTCAATTAATACAAATATATTAGAATTACAAACACTGCTTCACAGATTTCCGATTGAAATAGATATTATAATATTAACAGAAGCTTGGCTCCCTTGTTCATCAAATCAAATTATACCTACACTGAATAATTATAACAGCCACCACACCCAACATCACATAAACCAAAGTGACGGTGTAGTAACATACATAAAAACTAATATAAAATACACAATTGATGAACTAAAATTGCAACATGCTTCCTGTCTATTGGTTAAGTTAAATGGTGATACGGCTCTTCTTTGTATTTACCGTTCACCTTCTAACGACTCAATTGAACTATTTTTGCAATCCTTGTCGGACATATTACGAACTTTAACAGCCTTCAAAAATATAATAATTATGGGTGACTTAAACATTAATATAATTCCATCAACCACTGATACTCGTGCCGAGGAATACCTCAACACTTTAGCCTGTAATGGACTTTTATCTGCTCATACACTCCCTACACGTGGTCCTAATTGTCTAGACCATGTCTTATTAAAAACATGTTTACCATCCACTACCCTCGTTATAAACTCCACCGTGACAGATCATTCAGCAGTCTTATTCTGTCTTTATAATAACCAATCACGCAACCATTGTACACCTACTATTCGTAAAACAAACTTTGATGGATTGGACCGGTTAATTGAAAGTCTCGATCTTACTTCTATTTATAACACTAACGATCCAAATGATGCTATTGACTTACTCATTAAAACCCTAACCACGGCTTTAGAAACACACACCAAATTTGTACGCCCATCACAACAAAAAAGAATCCTTAAGCCCTGGATAACTCCTGGTGTGTTGCGATGCATACGCAATCGTGATGCTTTGAACAGCAAACTTAAAAAAAATCCTAATGACAGTAATATAAAACTAACATATACAAGATATCGCAAATTTTGCACAAAATTACTAAAAAATCTCAAAAGACAATATGAAAAAAATCAGTTTCTTGAAGCAGGTACCGACTCCAAAAAAATCTGGAATACTATTAAGAAGGTAACTCATACCTTACCATCTAAGTTACATTCAGCTGATCTACTCCAATCAAGTGCCACACCAATTGAATCTGTTAATGGAGCTAATTCGTACTTCGCAACAATTGGGGAAAAGTTAGCAAATAAAATCAGTAAAAATAAAAAAAAATCGACCATTACATCTAAATTTACTACACCCATACATTCACAATCTTTCGTTCTACTCGAAACCGATCAAAATGAAGTGCATAATACAATTATGTCTTTAAAATCGGACACAACAGTCGGATGGGACAACATATCCTCTAATATACTTAAAAGATATGCTATTGTACTCTCAGCTCCATTAACACATATCTTTAACAACTGTTTCCGCTTTGGTATTTTCCCCAGTGCTTTTAAAAGAGCCATCATACATCCTATTTATAAGAGTGGGGATAAGGATTCTCCAGGTAATTATAGACCAATTGCAATTCTTACTTCTTTATCAAAGGTACTTGAAAAGATATTAAATAAAAGATTCATCTATTACCTAGAGATTAATAAACTCATATCACCCAATCAATTTGGATTTAGACGTAATATTTCAACATCCGACGCCGTACTCGAACTTCTAAATAATATTGTAACAAATTTAAATGTCCGTAAAAAAGTTGTCTCCATTTTCTTAGATTTAGCAAAGGCCTTTGATACCATTCCCATCCCCACCCTTTTACAAAAACTTCACAGAATCGGTGTACGTGGTATTCAACATAAATTATTTAGTAGCTATTTACTAGAACGATTTCAAATGGTAAAAATAAACGATACTTACAGTGATTACCTTCCTGTAAACTACGGTATTCCACAAGGTAGTATCTTAGGCCCTACCCTATTTCTTGTTTTTATTAATGACCTCTGCAACTTAAAAACACAAAATGGTAAAGTTACCTCTTTTGCGGATGATACCGTACTCACATTCGCTGCTGAAAACTGGTCTGATGCATTCAGCTATGCCCAAAATGGTTTCAATGTCATAAATTCATGGCTAGTGAGCAATGCTCTCACCTTGAACGCATCAAAAACCAACTTTATTACTTTCTCCATCCGAAGCGATACCCTACCCAAAACAACCCCAACATTAACAGCTCACACTTGCTCAACTCAGAATGCCTATAATTGTTCCTGCCCACACATCCAATCTATCCTAGTCACTAAATATCTTGGTGTCTATATTGACCAAAACTTAAATTTTAAACATCACATTAATGCTGTTACTAGTAGAGTTCGCAAATTAATATATATATTTAGAAAACTTCGCTACATTGCTTCACACTCCATTCTCAAAACTACATATTATGCATTATGTCAAAGCATTATCACTTATTGCATTACTGCTTGGGGTGGAGCACCCAAAACTAACCTATTACAATTGCTACCTATAGAACGAGCGCAACGTGCAGTATTAAAAGTTAGTAACTTTCGCCCCATACGCTTCCCAACCAATGATCTTTATTTAGCTTGCAAAGTGTTAACCGTAAGACAATTATTCATAATAAATACTATTCTATACGTACACACTAGAACACCTTTTACTTATTCTAATAAGAGAAGGAATTTTCATGTTTGTCAAACACCCAAGATCAATTTTACATTTACAAAAAAATTTATTATATTTCTCGGTCCACACTTATATAATAAAATCAATAAAATTATA